AGCTCCCGTCATTCTTCTAGGGGGCCAGCCTGATGTCTTCTTGCTCCAGCCTGATGTCTTCTTGCTGGAGTTATGTCTTCCTTCCTAAATGGAAGCCCCAGTAAAAGCCTCTTCTGTGTGTTTTCTCACCCAGTTCTATTTTGTTTCTATTGTCATCAGGTCAAAAGATCCCAGTGTCCAGCATCAGTTCAAAGCCTCGCTGTTTCCTATTAATGATGTCCCCATAGACAGGTTCCTTAAACTCTTCATTCTTTTTTTTATTATTATTGATTTAAAAAAATGACAGTGGAATGCATTACAATTCTTATTACACATATATACCTCGATTTTTCATATCTCTGTTTATATATAAAGTATGTTGACACCCAATTCGTGTCTTCATACATGTCAAACTCTTCATTCTTCAGTTTTTCTCTTTTGTAAGGTGCATATGATAACTGTTGACACCTCATAGAGTCACTAGGAATTAATGCATGTAAAAGAGGAAGAGTGTACATAATAAGAGCTGTTTGGTAATCACCAGTATCTTCACCTCCAGCTTGTGGGTTCCCCGGCTCCATGCCTCTCTTGCACTGGGGACAAGGTGGGGAGCAGGGGCATCTTTGGAAGAGGCAGTTACTTCAAAGACTTGAAGGGCTTAGAAAGGCTCCACAGAGGATCAGACGCTCAAGGGTGGGATTTGGAGACTGATATATTAACCTGAGAGCCTGACCAATATTTTAATATTGAACCATCCTTGCATACCTGGAATAAACCTCATTTGGTTGTGGCTTTCTATTGTGTTTCTAATATCACTCTATCAGTGATTACACTCAATCAGTCTAATAAGTTAATAGTAGCAAGAATGAAGCTCAAGTAACTTGTGACTGTATTAGTACATAGTGAAACTGGCCTTCACTTTTTACTTGTTTGTGCCACCTTTCTTAAGTTTTTATATCAACATGATGTTAGCTTAGTGAAATGGATTCAGAGGTGTTGGTTTTTTATATCTGGGGAAAGTTTAATAACAGAAGGCTATGTACCTTGAAGATTTAAAAGAACTTTCGAAAATAAAAACTAACTAAAATTTGCCCCGTAAGACGCAAAACGGGGTCTGGGGCTGTAGCTCAGTGGAGAGCATTTGCCTAGCATGCGTGAAACACTGGGTTCGATTCTCAGCACCACATAAAAATAAACAAATAAAATAAAGGCATTCTGTCTATCTACAAGTACAAAAAAAATTTAAAGAAGAAGCAAAATGGATGAAGCCCTAGCATTTTATTTTATTTTTATTTTTTGTACTAGGGATTGAACCCAGGGACACTCAACCACTAAGTCATATCCCTAACCCTTTTTAAAATTTTATTTAGAGACAGGGTCTCACTGAGTTACTTAAGGCCTCAATAAGTGGTTAAGGCTTTGAACTTGCAATCCTCCTGCCTCAGCCTCCCCAGCTGCTGAAATTATAGGAGTGCACCACTACACCTGGATTAAGGTTTTTACTTTTTAAAAGGACATTTTTTTTCTATTTCTTCCAAGGTTATTGGGCTACTAACATTTTCTACCTATTATTGGGTTACTTGGGTAATTTATGTTTTCCAAAAAGTTACACATTTTGTTGAGAGTTCCACATTTATTAGTGTGAAGTGTTTCTTCTTCCTCCTCCTCCTCCTCCTCCTCCTCCTCCTCCTCCTCCTCTTCTTCTTCTTCTTCTTATCATCTCTTTTGTGTCTCTGGTCATATCTTCTCCTCATTCCTTATCTTGATGTTTGTGTCTTTAAAAAAAAATCTTGGCCTAGTTGGTCTATTTTATTGGTCTTTTCAAATAGCCATTCTTGGTTGTGCTTATTGTTGAGTCTGCTTTTCTATTTCCTAATTCATTATTTTCTGCTTTTTCTTTATCGATTCCTTCTTCCTCTTTTCCCTTGATTCTTTTTATTGCTTTTTTATCTGGCTTTCTGAGTTGAGTGCTTCAGTGAGGCTCTGATTTTCTGAACCTTTGCTAGAGGGATCAAGGTTTTAGAGCGTATGTAACAGTGTCAGAAACCGTTGACCAAACATGACCAAAAGGGCAGCCAGCTATTGAAGGGAGAACCCAGTCCCAGGAGGCAGGAGAGCTGGACTCCAGGCCCAGCTTGCCTCGGATCCACTGTGCTTCCCTCCCAGCATCCTGTCATCCATCCTAAGCAGCTTTGGGAAGTGTGGGCTTCTGCACCAGGCAGGCTCCTAACAGGACAAGGCCCTCCACCCTTTAGGAGGCAGATGTGAAGTCCCCCTCTTATGTCCCAGCTTCCACCCCCAACCGTTTACCCATAAAAACTGTGCAGTTGAGTTTCCTTCTGCAAACTGGAGCCAGTAAGTAATGGTGTCAGTGTCCCAGCTAGGAGGCAGTGGAGCTTCTGCACTGGAGCAGACAGGCCCACGCACAGGGTAGTAGTGCACCGCCTTGGACAAGTCTCTTTTTCCTATATATGGGGATGGTATTAGCACCTTTCCTCATGGGGTTGTTGAGGGTTAAAGGAGTTAACCATTTAAAATACTTAGGACATAGGCTCTTGTTTTATAATTTCTTTTTTTGTTTTTTTATTATTTATTATTATTAGTTGTTCAAAACATTACAAAGCTCTTGACATATTTGTTTTATAATTTCTATGTAAGTGTTGGTATTTTCATCATCCGGTGTGAGCCTGGGGGCGGGGCCAGGATGGGAGATGCTCCTCTGATTGGTGGGAGAGCCTGCTCATCAGGCCAGCCCCTGCCCTTGGCTGTCCTCTCTACCTGTCTCCCATTCTGGCCACTGACATCTCAATCTTTGGCTGAGGAGTGTGACTTGCGATCACTCCTCTTCCTTGGGTGCCTTTCCAGCAGCCTTCAGGCCTCTGAATTTCTGACAGCTGTGGGTGGGGAAGACTGCGCACGAGTGCTCCCCACCCCACGTGGCACAGCTTGAGTAGAAGAGGTCTGGGCTGTTAGGAAACTTGAGCTGAGGTACCTACTGTGCCACCTGTTCCTGTGAGACCGGAATCAGTTGCTCCCCTCCCCCGACACGAGGACTCAATTTTTCCATCTGCAAAATGGTCACAGGGGTTGGTCAAGATGACTCCCAGATCCCTTCTTGCATTTATTCCTGAGCACGGATGAGGGGACTCTTATGGACTCCCAAAAGCTCCTGCTCCTCTAGCAGTGCCACTTCTTTCTTTCACTTAGAAAATATTTTGGGCCCATTGCTAATCCTGTAGAAATGGGAGCTGCCACCCAGTGCTGTGGGGGTTGGATTGGAGGAGAGGCACAGCAGAACTAGTCAGAGCAAACCTTTTTCCTCCACATTGTCAGCATGACCGGTTCTGCCAGCTTCCCTTTCTGTTTAACATGGGCTCTCCTGGGGAGTCACGATAGCTGTGATGGATGCATTCTTGTGGGGGACGGAGGTCTCCCGGAGGTAAGCCCTAGGTGTTTGCTCCCCACTAACAATGCCTCATGTGAAGAGACTCAGCCAGGATGCCTAGTCCAAAGCCAGGCAGGCAGTGAGCAGAGGGAGGGGGAGCCTCTGTCTGCTGCTGCCTAGTATTCTGGAAAGTTCTGGACAGTAGGCAGAATCCTGTGGCATGAGGCAGCATCCATCTCAGCTGCTGGATGGTTTTGAATGATGGCACTGAAGGACTCTTGGTTTATTCAGGGCTTATCCCACATCCTGGCTGTTCTTTGGGGGGCATCTGTCAGAGGTGGCCCTTCTCCTATGCCCATCTATCTACTTGTGGGGCTCGGTTCAGCGTCATCAACCTGTGTGTGGCTGGACTCTAGGGGAGGCTGTAGAGGCACTCCAGGGCCTAGTCCGGCTGGGTGTGGCCAGCGGTTGCTCATGCACAATCTCAGGGCCCTTCCACTCTCCCCACCCCCACCCCCATCCCCGACCTCAGTGTCCACACCCAGAAGAGGCTGGCCTAGTCCCCAGGCCACCTCATTTCCTGCCCACTAAACAGGACGGATGGCAGTGAGTATATCCCTTATTTTTAGGAAAAACTGCTAATTCCCTCTTCAAAGATGGTTTCTTGCCCTCAAGGCCAACGGTAATCACAGAAGAGTGTGACCCCCGCATCTAGGTTATTGTTCTTACCCGTGGTCACCTTGGGACATATAACTGGCTGTAGGAGTTTGAAGGGCTGCAGGCCCTACTCTCACCCTAAGAGACGACGGACCCCGGCAGTGCCTCCCTCACAGAGCTCAGCTGCCTCAGGGTTTCTCCAGCCTCATCTGGAAGCAAGTGCTCCTGGATCCTTGGATGAAGCACAGGCTTATTCTCTTAGTGCCACGTCTTATGACAAGGCAGGCTTCCTAGTGTGGAATATGGGTCATCACTACGCAAGGGGTGGCTGCCTGTAAAGAGCTGGACTCTCATGGCTGGAGTGGCCACCCCTTGAAGACAGAGGCCTTCACTCTGAGTCGCAGTCCCAGAGCGGTGTTGGAGTCGGGAGGTGCTTCCTGAATCAGCACTGAGTGAAGGAGCGGCTCAGGGCCAAGGGCTAGACGTGGGGCTGGAGGGACTGAGGCGGAAATGCCACTGCCCACTGCGGGGCCATCAAAGAAGAGGAGGGAGGCGTTTGGAGAGTCTTTGAAGGTGGTGGTGTCAGACGGTACAGCTGGAGGAAGGGGACTATGCAGAAGGCCCCTCAGAAGCAACAGCGAGAAGCTGGGGCTGTCCAAGTCACTTGGGGAGGAGGCGGCCCCAGTAGGCTGGCACCTCTGCCAGTCCACCTCCCCGAGGGGTTATGGTTTCCAGGGACAGGCCAGAGCCCTGACTGGGTTCTTGCTGAGTGAAGCCAGGGTGGCTGGAGGTGTGTGTGCGTGTGCGTTTGTGTATGTGTGTGTGAACACGAGCACGCATGAATGGAGGGGGAAACCGGGGGCACGTTGGCATTCAGCGTCCGGACATGACAAATGTGCAGACGTGTCCGGGGAGCTGTGGACATGAGCAGCTGGCCGCGGAGATGCTCACCCTGTGATTTGTTGCTTTGATTCCTCAGGCCGCGACTTGGCAAGCACGACCCTCCCCGGGTACCCTCCGCACGTTCCCCCCGCCGGACAGGGCAGCTACTCGGCGCCGACGCTGACAGGGATGGTGCCTGGTGAGTTTGCACTGTCCACATCTCCACAGCAGGACGCGGACGGGGTTTCGAGGGGGGGACATCCCCCCAAACAGCCCGGGTGACCTCGGCGCTTCTGAGAAGCAGACCTGAATAAATCAGGCGGAGGTCTGGCTCAGCCTCTTCCCTGCGGCTGGGTCTGGGACAGAGGCAGCGGCAGCACGGGGAGGCCATCAGAGAGAGGCAGTCCTCGACTGTCACTCAGACAGCCCCTTGTTGGCTACGAGGGGAGTCTGAACACAGAGGGGTGCGGGGCCAGCAGTGGGGGGGCTTCTCCCCAGCCTCCTCTCCCTTCTCCCTCTCTCTCCCACCCAATTCATGTGGCAGAAACCCCTGAGCTGCTCTTGGCCATCTTATTCCTTGGGTGGAGGATGGTGTATTCAGGATTGGCATGTTGGCTGCTGGGTTCGGGTCACCAGATTATAAACTAAACACCACTGAAACCTAATCTCCTCTGGCCAGCGATGTGTTGGTTTCAAGAAATTTGTAAAGGAGACCACTACATCACACCCCCTTGCATCGTGGAGCTGGGGCACACATAGGTGTGCGGTGGCCGGGTGTTCAGGGCATTAGCATAGCAGGGATACCCAAGTACCCTTTTATGAAAGATGTCAAAAATTGGGGAGAAATCAGGTCTTGGTTAGATGTCACTCTACTTCCTTTATGGGGCAGCATTTTCTCATTTGGCCATTCGCAGGGGTCACACCTCTTTTCAGTGCCTGGACCTAATACACCACTGACTCTCTGGGAAACTAGAAAAGCCAGAGGACTTATCCCCACCCCCCACACCACTTTCTCTTTGGAATTTCACAATAGCCCTGAGAAGCTGGCAGGGCGCTCTTCCTCCTGCTTTATTAGTGGTTATTTATTAGTGATTATTAATTGTTTGCTAATAATTAATAATAATAATTATTATTATTTTAAAAACTTGAGTCCAGAAAGGGGCTGGGAGTGCCTGGGTCACCCAGAAACGAGGAAGCAGGGCCACCGCTAGAAACTGGGTAGACCCACCCTAGACCCAGGCAAAAAGGACGCCTGCTCTGAGAACTGTTGCAGCCCTGCCAGGACAGAGCCCCCACCGCATCCCACAGACCAGGGGAGTCTGCAGGACCAGGGGAGGCGTCTGCACCCCACCTTCCAGCACACACTAGAGACTGCCTCAAGTAGGACCGAGTGTCTTCATGCCTCTTCCCCAGGACTGTCCCCTAAAGATCGCCCATGTCACCCATGTGTGAGCCCCTAGGCTTGAGGACTGGCTCATAATGGGAATGTGGACAGGGCTTGGATGTAAGGACCAGTATCCCACAGGTGTGTAGGAAGCCCTGTGTGGTGATGGGGTGGGGCCAGCAGCAGGTGAGATCACGGCAGGGTGGGCTTCCCCAGGCGGCGCTTCCTGGCACAGAATACCAAGTCGTTCCAGGAATCTAAATTCCACCCTGGACTTCCAGGTTGTGCTGAAGATGTATTTAACAAGGTAGGAGGATGGAGCATATTTCATTTAACGGTTTGTTAGCTTGATTTATGACTTTTAAATATGAGACATATGGGAAATGGCCTCCGTGTGTGCTCTTGCCCTGGGCCTTGCCAATGCCAGGAAGATCTGCCAGGTTCCACCTGCAAAACCTTCACCTTTTCTGCTACAAGGATGGGCCCGTGGCAGATCCCAGGGAAATGTTGCAATCAGAGGTGGTGGGGCCCACGACATCCTTTCCCATCCAGCTTCTCGTGGCCCAATCTTCAGCAAGTAGGACAGATCCCAAGAAATACCCGGGAATGGCCCTTCATATTCATGCAGCATTTTATAGAACGGGAAGTCCTTTCTCTAGAACCCTTTGATGTAACAACCCTGCGAGGTGGGCAGACTCGAGGGTGTGAGACCCAGAGAAGTCAGGGAGCTGCCCACGGCCACACAGTTTGCAGGTGAGAAATTGATCCCCTGCAGCCTCCCCCTCTCGTGTGCCCAGTGCTGCCTCTGTGCTCTCTATCAACTCTGATTCTCAGTGACGGCAGAAGGGGAGGCAGCAGCAGCACCATGCCCCATCCTAAGGGCATGTTAGTAGGTGAAACCGAGGCCACCCAGCTGGGCCTCCCAGCTCCAGCTGCAGACCCCTAAGAGGCCTAGTTCAGAGAAGCGTCTGAACTTTCTCGAGTTTATTCAAACAGAGCCTGCCCTCTGGCCCTTGATTCCTCCAGCCCTAATTATCAGGTTCCACACACAAATGGCTGTAGGCCTGGCAGAGCCCCTGCAGGAATGGGTGAAGGCTCCTCATCCATTCGTGGTGGCAGCCAGACTCACAGGACCAAGCAAGGGCACAGCCTACTCTGCTGGCAGGAGCAGGATGGGGTGACCATAGGGCCCCCTGGCGCTCTGTCCTCTGGCACAGAGGGAGGCTGTACAGTATGGAGGGAGGAAAATAAGAATTTTGGCCAGGGAGCTGCTACCCCAGTATCCCAACTCCTCCCTCTTCTGTATTTCTATTCCCTTCCCTTCTCCTCTTCCTCTCCCTGCCTGGCTTCCTTGCTTTCTCTTTGGCACCTCCCAGTACTTGGTGCCAGTTCAGCACCAGGGCTGGGATGCGGAGCTCAGTGGGCACAACCCTTAGCTCCTGTTCCTCAGTCATGTATTTGGGTCTCTGGTTTCCACAGTAGTTTCCACACCTGTGTTTTGGGCAGCCTGAGCATATTGTCTTTGTGAGCACTGTCCCCAGCTCAGAGAAGGCCCCTCTTTTGGCAGAGCTGAGGTTCTGCCCTTTGAGCATAGCAGGATATGGCCCCAGCTGGCTTTCCTGGCCTCTTCTCTCAGCTCTCCACCCTGACCATTTGCTGATTCCCAGCATGCCTTGGACTCTTACCGGTCACTGACTTTCCTCATTTTGTGCCTTGGATTGGATTACTTCCTGCTCGACCTGTCAGGATCCAGCTTCATCCTTCAGAGCCAAGTGCAAACATCACTGGCTTCAGGAAACTTCCTGGTGTGGCCTCCACTGGGGGCTAAAGTTTATTCCCCATCAGCTCTGCCCATGTCCACCGCTCTCATAGGGACCTTCTTACCTTCTGCACCCTTCACAGTCCATAGCTCCTTCTAGGTCCTTTCGTGAGTGCAGGCTAAGGAGGAGATGCAGGGAAAATTACATGGGCCTGTGTATCAGTTTCCTGTGGCAGCTGTAACAAATCTCCACAAATGTGGTGCTCACAACTTAGAAACTTATTCTCTGACAGTTATAGAGCCCAGAATTTTGCAATTGGTATGACTTGTCCCAAAATCAAGGTGTTGGCAGGTGTTGCGGGGACATTCTAGGAAAAGACCTAGGTCTTTCTTCTGTGGCTGTCCATGCCTCCTGGCAGCCCTTGTCTGGTACTTGACTCCAAGTCGAGGGTCTTGACGTCTCCTTACTCCATAATTTTTTTTTTTTTTAAGTACCAAGGATTGAACTCAGGGGCACTTAACCACTGAGCCACATCCCCAGCCCTTTTTTGTATTTTATTTAGGGACAGAGTCTCACTGAGTTTAGCTTAGCTTTGCTAAGTTTTTGAGTCTGGTTTTGAACTCGTGATCCTCCTGCCTCAGCCTCCTGAGCCGCTGGGATTACAGGCATTACAGGGTGGCCCCCCGGCTCCATCTTTACATCACCTTCTTTGTGTGCCAGTCTCCCCCATCTCCTGTCTTACAAGGGTATTTGTGCATTTAGGACCCCCTTGAATAATCTAGGATAATCTCCCCATCACAAGATCCTAACTTAATCACATTTGCAAAGACCCTCATCCCCCTTTGTGCCCCATCATATAAGATGACGTTCACATATTAGGCTCCAGGGATCAGGAATTTCAACCTTGTGTTTGTTCAGATTTCTGATTCTTTACCTCTCTGGCTTCTGAGCCCAGGAGGCACTCACTTCATAGTGACTGTACTGAAGGTGATGATCCCATTTTGCAGACCCAGCAGGACTGTTGGCACTTTGGAGAAAGCTTTTGAGCTTTCTGGGGAGCTGTTTCTCCGGCTTCCCTTTCTCTGAGATTGCTCAACTGCAGTGGTCAGTTTCAGGTATGGAATGACCTTCCCTCCTCACCTCCAGCAGGCTCGGCAGTGCAGTCTACAGAGAAACTGGAAACCTTCCGGGTTGGCTTTCCCATGTAGGCTCTGAAAAACATCAGCTGACACTGCTTTCCTTTATAAACAAAGGCAGCCAGGCGCAGTGGCTCATGCCTATAATCCCAGCGGCTCAGGAGGCTGAGGCGGGAGGATCACGAGTTCAAAGCCAGCCTCAGCAAAAAAAGTGAGGTGCTAAGCAACTCAGTGAGACCCTGTCTCTAAATTAAAGAATATAAAAAAGGCTGGGGTTGTGGCTCTGTGGTTGAATGCCCCTGAGTTCAATCCCTAGTACCCACCCACCCCCCAAAAAAGGATTATAAATGAAGGCTTCTATTTATCCTGTTTGCTTTTAGGACACACAAAGGAGGGGCTGTCTCCAGGGTGCATTTGAGCAGTTGAGCTTTGGGGACCTGAAAAAATAGACACAACATTGTTCTGTATTTAATGTTGACTTGTTGGCTTGGGTTCATGCTTTCTTTGAATTGGATTTGGTCATCAGGCTGTTGTCTGTCCTGTGGCTCCAGGGCATCCCCATGTCTGCAAAACATGGCTTCTAATTGTTCCTTAATGTTTGTAGATTCTGTTTCTGCAGCTCTGCAAACTCTGTAGCTAGCCCTTTGCTGATCAGGTATGTTGAAGAAAGCATATCCGATGTGTTGTATCAGCTTAGAATGGAGACAGTTTTCAGATTTTATTTTCATCAAGTCTCAGCAAATGCCAAAAGTTTTGCACCAAAGATTCCATAGTGTCTTGATGGGTGTAACTGCTTGATTCCTGCCTGAAGGTATTTGTGTAACATAACAGATATTGACATGGCATTTGAAACTCTTAAAAATTCTGGGCTGGAGAGGAAATAGAAAGGGAGTTCACTGCCTTTGGCTTCAGTGAGTCT